GTGCAGAAGACAATGCACCTGCAAGTTCGTGTATAGTCAACCCGCTACTGAAAAGAGTAGCATGTTCAGTCTACGTCCCACGGCTGACTCCCACAGTACGAACGCAGTAATAACTCACAAAGCAACGAACATGCGGTCTCCCACAAGGAACTCTGAGGGTTCTAACATTTTAGAATATCAGTTAAGTAGGATGTAGAGTGAGGGTCTGAGGAATGAATGGTTGGAGTTCAATTGCATGTTGGGATTTTACTTCACCAAATAGGTACAGCAGAAGCTATATCTTCTTGGGGTGGAATATAAAACAAACCTCTCCGTTTATAGTACATTGTGTAATATAAAACATAAAGACAATAAAAGTATAATTAAACCCATAACTTTTATTTTAAACGCTCTGAATAAGATTCACAGTAAAAAATCAAAGAGATGAGATTGGAGAGAGATGTAGTACGTATGGGAGAGGTGAAATACGCATACAGAGTATTGGACTGCCGAGAATAAATAACAACAACCTACTTATAGATGGGAGAATAATATTAAAACGAATCTTAACCAAATTTGTATGGGAGGGTGTGGACTGAATTTATTAGGCTCATAATACGGACCAATGACCGTCTCTTTTGAACAGGTTAATTGATCCCTGGGTTCCATTGGCTGAGTGGATCTGTCCCAAGGATACAGTCTGTGTGGCCTTTAATATTTATTTCTGCTGGTGGTTAGTTACCACAACAACATATTTGCTTCTATATCAGAAGTCTGTGTTCAGAGATAAATTTTCAAAGCACGCCTTTTGAAACTATACTCCAAAGTGGGCTTGGCGCATGGATGCGAGATGTCAGGTCAATTCCAAACCCTCTTCTTTGAATGTACTGTATTCGAGTTTGGGAACTCTGAGCTTCAGTACGATGCATGAATTATGAGTTATGGCTGGTGACATTAAGTGAGTATTTGGCATTTGAACTTTCTATGTGGGCTTGCGGCAGTGACATTCCATTCATCGTTTCGCCAGACTAGACTGCGAAACAGGGCGATCAAAAAGCCTTTATACACTTGTAACCTTGCATTTTGTCAATCTCTTTGGAAATTTCTTCAAGAGTTCAATGAGCTGTGTGACCGTCCCATTACTACAACAACATTTTGTATATTCCAAAAATCTCCCACTGCAAGTTATGCTAATGTCAAGCCCCACCTAATAAGTTTGTTCTTCCGCCATGTTAGTATTACAGATTGTAGAATGTCGAAAAATGCTAGAAAATCTGGCAGAGAAATGCTGCAGAAAATGACAACTCTCAGAGTGGGCTATAACACCCAAAGAAAACACACATCAAGCCACTGAAAGTTTAACGTGCTGAATCACCGGAGCTTAAAGTCAGAGTCAACAAGTTCTTACTACACAATGGAAAGCAAAGGGCTTAGTCGTGAATTATTTACACTGATTGAAGACAACTTCTGCTCAAGTTCGTACGCTCGTCATATCGGATAAGCTAGTCGACTGCGTTTTATAAACCACTGCAATCATAACCAATTGTTCATATCGCAGTTATTTATATAGGATTTGAGGTTTTCACGGCGGTGAGTCTGAAGATGGCTGTCTTCTGAGCTGTTGCGCCTTGTAGTTTGGTAGACGTTTACCGACGTTTCAGATATCCTTGCTGCCTCCATCATCAGGGCGATAGCAAGGACCTCTGAAACTTCGGTAAACGTCTACAAGACTACAAGGCGCAACAACCCAGAACACAACCATGTTTCAGTTATTTATATCTGTTCTTTCTTACATTGTTCTATAACCCAACAACGTGAGCAGACAAACAAAATATCTTTTACAAGTACAGAAGTAAAACGTCTTATAACGTACTTTAATATTAGATACTGACCGTGTAATGACTGGTTGTAAATTATTATAACGGCATTCATCTGATTAGTTTATTAGATCCGCCTATAGGGTTTAGAACTAATGACCATATCAACTACACAGGATATTTAGTGTCGAATGAGATAAGGTAATGAATGGTAAACCGGTAAGTATTGGAAGGCAACCGATGGTGGACTTTTCACTTATTGTACCAAACGCAAATTACCCAGAACAATAAAGACGTAAGTGTTGAACTTGTCTCAATGTTGACTTTATCTTACATGGAATTTAAGTAAACTTTTTGTGAAAAATTTCTTTGTAAAAATAAACTGAACTGAATTTGGGGTTAAATGAACGTTGCAGACGAAGAAAACACAGGAAGTCTCCTACAGAGACCTCACACTGATGTGTAAATTTTATACAGTGCAAAGGAATGTAACGTTTTTACAGCGCCACGATTAACTATGACGTCATAGTTGAGTGAACCTATAATTCAGATCTGCAATATGCTTTTGAAGTCAGTCTCTTCTACGAACATGTCTGCAGTGGCCTAAGCATGTCTCCAGATATCAAACAAAGAGTTCCTGGCAGAACTCTCCTATTGCGTAAATTTCTAGAGCTAAACGCGTGCTGTTAATGCTATGTCCAAAGAAGGTAAATTTATAATCAAACAATAAAATTAAATTTAGTTTGTTTGTTTGTTAGCATGCTTTACTCATGCACAGACGATTATATGACCAAAACCTGTCAGAGCCAAAACATTTTTATCTATTTAAATTGTAAATGTGTTGTTATTTATTGTGAAGAGCGTATTCTACGTTACATTTGTCACATGCAACTCAAAGTTTAGTACCGCTGCCATGTTTTAAATTACTGACTTATAAATAATGTTCCACAAGTAATTTATACAATATTTATAATTCACCTTACAACAAACTTTTGTATTGTCACCTTCAATATTTCCACAGGTAATTTATACAATATTTATAATTCATCTTACTACAAACTTTTGTATTGTCACCTTCAATAGTCTATTTGTTACAACGGTCAAAGTGAAAGTTGAATGAAAATCCGTAGGGTACCAGGTTGTAAGATTTGGCTGAAGGATTCTGACGAAAGCGTGTTGTAAAACTGTTGCATTTTTTGAACAATTTTCCTCGTATGATAATTTTAAAAGTTTCAAAAACATACTTTTCGAAAGCTGGTTCTACTTCAGCTATTAGTTTACAACTAAATTGTAGTTTCACATTCTGCACCATAGCAAATCGGTGAATACATGCGAATGTAAAATTTTTACAGTGGTGCCATGAATGCGTGCTGAAACAACTGACTGTAATTGGAATGAGGTTTATGTTTAATGTATTTGGACAGTAGGTTTGTGGGTTCTGCTAGAAACCCACGGTCCGTATGACGTAGTCTTCCGCCTTAGAGGAATAGCCATTAGCGGGACGTTCGAAAATAGTATCTGTATTTACACAGGTTGAATTTACGCTGCCTTAAGGATAATGAGCAGAAATTCAGTCACACAGCTTAGCCTCGTGACAGATGAGGCTGAAGGCTATAGATGTCATGAACATGAGATTCTGCTTACTCTTAGCGTCTAGCAGTCTCAATACTTAAGCATGCGTACAGTTTTCACAAGATAACAAGCTCTGTTTGACACATAACCCGAGGGTAACGTTTTTATTCAAGATTTTGAGAATCAGCTATGGGTATATATTTATTTACTTTATTCTGAAGAACACGTGTTTGAGTATGTATACATAAACATACATTTTCTCACTTTATTTTGATTTTAACGCACAG